CCCCCCACAGGCGGGCCGGGGAAGCGGCTCTGTATTTAGGCTGCAGAGGTATTAAGCAGCACGGTTGGGGCGTAAAGTGCCGTTTAGTGCGTCCCCTGCCGCGGCTCCACATCAGAGGTGGGCGTCTTGTTTTGGGATCGGAAGGGAAGAGCTGAACTAAAAATATTCCTCTATAGCCAGAAATCATATCAATGCACCAAATGCCTTTGCAAACCCAGATATCACCTTGTAAATGCAGCAGTGACATCATCACTGTGCTGTACATAGCCTGTGCAGAGAGCAGAGCTGTGGGAGGGGCCCAGTAGCCCCACCTACTACAGAAAACTAGAGACCAGTCACCCTGCACAAGGAGAGAGAGCAGCAGTGATCAGACTTTATTACAGGAGGGGGCGGAGACAAGACGAGTCACCCTGCACAAGGAAACAGAGCAGCAGTGATCAGACTTTATTACAGGAGGGGGCGGAGACAAGACCATTCACCCTGCACATGGAGAGAGAGCAGCAGTGACCGGTCTTTATTACAGGAGGGAGCGGAGGCAAAACCCCGCCGTGTCGTAAATCGCGCATGCACGGCCATCTGATTGACGCCAGCCGGCAGCCATCTTGATGATGGACGCCGGCAGAGAGAGGAGGGGACAATCACCCGGCGGGATGAGGTATGCCACCGGGTCCCGTCCTCTCTCTTGACACTGTCGGGCTCTCAGTCCATGGCCGAGTGCCTGACTTTTTAGAGGGGGTGAAACCAAAATGACCCTGCAATGGTGTCACCCAAGTGCGGGCAGCACCCCCGTTGTCACGCCACTGGACCCAGGGAAGGCAAAATATAAGCAGATCAAACTTTATCATCTTTAAGACAACAAACCCCACTTGCGTCTCTGAGGCACATTTAAAGCCCCATTGAGATGTTAATGCACTGAGAGTGAAGGGCCCTAAAAGATGAAGGAGCGGAGCGGGGACGAGCAGGACGGGAGATTTTATAGGAGAGAAGGATGCGCCATCATTACAAGGTTAATGAGCTTAGCGGGACGGCAGCCTGCGAACCCAACAAGAGCGCAATTAAAGGGAATTACACCCATTCATCAACGTCCGCCGGCCGGGGGAAAGAGGGACAAAATCTTCATATAGGCCGGAGGGACAAGAATGTGTCATTGTAAACCTCGGGCTCGCCACATGATCATTGAAGAGCGGACAACCTAAAGAACTGCACTCCGATCCGGGACCCCCGCTAACAGTCCTAGAGAACTGCACTCCTATCCGAGACCCCCGCTAACTGTCCTAGATTACTGCACTCCGATCCGGGACTCCCGCTAATAAGCCTAGAGAACTGCACTCCGATCCGGGACCCCCGCTGTCCTAAAGAACTGCACTCCGATCCGGGACCCCCGCTAACTGTCCTAAAGAACTGCACTCCGATCCGGGACCCCCGCTAACTGTCCTAGATTACTGCACTCCGATCCGGGACTCCCGCTAATAAGCCTAGAGAACTGCACTCCGATCCGGGACCCCCGCTGTCCTAAAGAACTGCACTCCGATCCGGGACCCCCGCTAACTGTCCTAAAGAACAGAGAACTGCACTCCGAACCGGGACCCCCACTAACTGTCCTAGAGAACTGCACTCCGATCCAGGACCCCCGCTAATAATCCTAGACAACTGCACTCCCATCCAGGACCCCTGCTAAGAGTCATAGAGAACTGCACTCCGATCCAGGACCGCCGCTAACAGTCCTAGAGAACTGCACTCCGATCCGGGACCCCCGCTAACTGTCCTAAAGAACTGCACTCCGATCCGAGACCCCCGCTAACTGTCCTAAAGAACTGCACTCCGATCCGGGACCCCCGCTAACAGTCCTAGAGAACTAACAATCTCAGGTTTCGCGCACCTGCAATGTACCGTTCCCATTGCAAGCCGCAACTGTGCCAAACCGGGCTTCATTGCAGCGGACGGCTCCTTCCCAATCACAGCAGTTTGCTCCATTGATGAATCAATCCAGTTGTTTCTCTACAGTCTATAGGAATGAAATGATATTCACTATTACCAATCACTGGGATAGATGAAGACAGGACAGGATAGAGACAGGAAGCCGGAAGAGATACAATGTATAACAATCACAAGGAGCCTATTGGAGGAAAACAAGAGGGCAGCCAATAGGGTGTGAGTAGGAGGGGAAGGCTCCTTTCTTGAGTTACATGCTGGAAACAGTTGTATGTACACAGGGGGCTGATACAGGTCAGTAAAGGAAATCTATTGCTGACCAATGAGACAGAGCCAGCAGTGTGAGGGGGGGTAAGGCTCTAGCTGCGTGTGCATTCTGTGTTTGGCTCTCTTACATCGCAGATCACCAAAATGCATCAAACAAAAGTCAGTTGCAGAGATCAACACACTGACCAGCGTTGCCGATGTTGACGGCCAAATGACAATTTTATTGGATTGTGTGTATTCGGCCCGGCACAACCCGTTTTAAACCGAGCCACCAAGCAGCTTCCTCACTTTTCACTACGAGTGGCTTCATTTGCTGACGCAGCTTTTCCCGTAAGCCCTTGAAAAATACGACCTTAGGGCAAAGAATTGAACAGATAAATCACTTGTGTCACTGCCTGTTCGGTACACCGCCACGCTTTGCGCTCTAGGCTTCAGAAAAACAGAAGACGGCATAGATGACGAGGAAGGAAGAATCCCCGGAGCCTAGCGGGGGGGAAGGCTGCACCCGAGTCATGAATGTTTAAGGGCCCATTCACACATACTGTATGTTCATTGAGGTGTGTTGCCCATTTACTCCTAAATTGTACCGAAACCCCGGAACTAAAATGTAATATATTGCAGCAAACTTGTGTTTACACAGCTTCTCTTATTTCAGATGCTTTCCCTTTATTTCTACCCGGTGATCCTGCCAGTAACACACTTCCTGTCCTAGGGTGACAACGCTCAATCACTCTACTGTGTCTATGGAGGAGCAAAGTGGTCACCCTTAGACCAGAAGTGGATTAGGATTACAGAACGCCTCCCCCATCATGATAGCTCTTGTGTAGTCCACAGAGGAGGGACATGGGCAGGGTAGATAACTCTGATTGGTATTTCAATATAGCACAAGCAGAGGGTATATGAAGTTCAGTGAATTTCTGGCTGGTATTTTTTGCACTTATTAAACAGATATAACCTGGGCTATCCCTATGGTATTCACCGCCTGAGGCAATGTCGTTTGGGGGGGGGGGGGGGGG